CAGGTAAAAGAAAAACAGGACATATTTCAAATATGAAAACAATATATTATTATAATAAACTCAATTTGCAAACATGAACTGTGCATGAAATTATCGAGAATAGTAATAGCATTAAGAACAGAAAAACAGAATAATACTATAAATTAAAATACATTAAACAATAATATAGTAACAAAACAAATTCTCCCTTTAACAGTACTTAACTGGCTTGAACAAAACAAAGTGCACAAAATTATTACTAGAAAACAAAGCAGCTGTTTTGTTTACTGTTTTGTTAAGACTCACTAACATAACAGATTAAATAATTTCCCTTTTCGTACACTGTCTTCGCTTATAAACAAAGTGCACACAATTGTTTGTGAAAAAATAAAGTGATTAAAGTGCAAAACTAAACAAAAATACCAAGCATTATTAGCTTTTTACCCACAAAGCCCTATGACAGTTTTCACAGAGAACCCCTTTCGATGCTCTGTCATCCTGTTGAAAACTACCGAGTTACAGGTTTTTGTTCAGAAACAATAACATGTTTACATGTTTCCCTTTTATTGCACTTCTTCTCTGGCTTATTACTGTAACTGTCCGGGCTTTGAGAAAATCCTTTCTGCAGGTACAGATGAAGCAATGACTCCCAGGTGTTTCTTGGCAAGTGTATTAAGAGAGGGAAATGTTGGCTCATTAATTTTCCACCAAAGTAGTGGATCTTGGTCACGTGGAATTGGCTTCTCTTCTGAGTAACGGCGCATTTCAATTATGGCATCAGTGCCAGTCGTACGATGCTGCTGGGATGCAAGGACTTGAGAGTCAAACTCTGCCCATATCCCACATTTTACTGCAGGAGGGGAAGCAGCTGCTCCTGCAGGGGAGCATGAGGTAGTTGCAGTAGCCATTGCTAATGTAGAGCTGGTGGCCAGGCTTAAATCAGCAGCTGACACTGAAGAGGTTGAGCTCTGTCTCAATAGCTGAATTTCTGTGATGAGTCGCCCTTTGAGAGATTCAACATTTGCCATGTCACGGAACCCCAGGTTTTTAAATCTTGCATCCAGGTAGGTACTGACAGCAAGACCATAAAAGGTTTCAATACCTCTGAAACGACGTTGGCATTGTGCTGACAGCTCAGCAGCTATCTTGCTACCTTGGCACTCATAAGATGCTGTTGATCTCAGAAGTA